GGTTTTTTTCCTTGCACTTATTTTCCATGTGTATGTCTTTTTATGTAAAGTGTTTGTTCATATCTTTTGCAACATTTTTGTTAAATTGTTTCCTTTTTATTTTATTTTATTTTTTTTATTTTTTTTATTTTTTTTTTGAGTTGGAGTCTCACTCTGTCGCCCAGACTGGAGTGCAGTGGCCGCTCCCGGCCACCGCAGCCTCGACCTGCTGGGCTCCGGCGATCCTTCCGCCTCAGCCTTCCGAGTAGCCGGAATTACAGGCATGCGCTACCACACCCGGCTGATTTTTTTGATTTATTGAAGATGAGGTCTCACTGCCCAGGCGGGTCTCGAACCTTTTTATTTTTTAAATTTTTAAAAAAATTTAGCTTCTTTAGAGATGGAGGTCTCATTATGTTGCCCAGGTTGGTGTCGAACTCCTAGCCTCAAGCAATCCTCCCACCTCAGCCTCCCATAGTGTTGGGATTACAGGCATGAGCCACCACGCTCAGTACTTTGGTCCTGTTTTAAATTTTTATTTTTATTTTTTGAGTCAGAGTCTCACTCTGTTGCCCAGGCTGGAGTGCAGTGGCCTGCTCATGGCCACTGCAGTCTCAACCTACTAGGCTCAGATGATCCTTCTGCCTAAGCTTTCCAAGTAGCTGGAACCATAGGTGCGCACCACCACACCTGGATAATTTTTTTTTTTTTTTTTGAGTTGGAGTCTCATTCTGTCACCAAGGCTGGAGTGCAGTGGCACGCTTATGACCACCACAGCCTCGACCTGCTGGGCTCTGGCGATCCTTCTGCCACTGCCTTCCAAGTAGCTAGAACTACAGGCATGTGCTACCATGCCCTGCTAATTTTTCTTGATTTATTGTAGAGACGAGGTCTCGCCAAGTTTCCCAGGCTGGTCTGGAACCCCTGGACTCAGGCAATCCTCTCACCTTTACCTCCCAATGTGCTGGAATTGCAGGTGTGAGCCACCGCACCAAGCCTAAGAATTTTTTTTCCTTTTCTTTTTTGGTAGAATGGGAGTCTCCCTATGTTGCCCAAGCTGGTATCGAACTCCTAGATTCAAGTGATCCTCCTGCCTCAACCTCCCAAAGTGCTGGAATTATAGGCATAAGCCACCACATCTGACCTTATTATTGGGTTTTGAGAATACACAAACACTCATGTGTACACACACATACACACACACACACACACACACACACACACAGAAAATGGTCGATTACAGGTACATGCCTGTAATTCCAGCTACTTGGAAGGCTGAAGTAAAAGGATCTCATGAACCCAGCATGTTGAGGCTGTGGAAGCCGTGAGTGTGCCCCCTGCACTGCAGCCTAGGTGACAGAGTGAGACTTCAACTCAAAAAAAAAAAAGAAGAAAAGAAAAGAAAATCAATTGTCCATGTACGCAAGTGTCTGTTTTGGGGCTCTGTGTCCCACTGATTATCTGTCTTGACGCCAATGTCACCCCACCTTAATTATTGTAGCTTTATAATCAATCTCGAAGTCAGGGAGGGTAAATCCAACTCCGTCCTCTTTTTGGCAGCACTCTCTTGGTTGGAAACAGAGGTGGCAGACTGATGAGTTTTAATTCCAGCTCAACCGTTTCACACTTGTGTGATTTCAAACAAGCCAGTTAATTATGTTTGTTATCATTTATGCACTTGTTTATTGTTAGAATTATATATTATTATGCTTAGAATAAATGCTAATTATTGGCTGGGTGCAGTGGCTCATGCTTGTAATCCCAGCACTTTGGGAAGCTGAGGCGGGAGGATTGTCTGAGTCCAGGAGTTCGAGACCAGCTTGGGCAAGATGGTGAGACCTCTTCTCTCTAAAAAAAAAAAAAAACAGCAAAATAAAAATGCTTGTTATTATGAAGAGCCTGAACTAGGACGATTGCTCTAGAAAAAAAGGTACTGGAACTAGTCAGGCTCAGTGTTGCATGCCTGTAGTCCCAGATACTAGGGAGGCCAAGACAGGAGGATTGCTTAAACCCAGGAGTTCAAGACAAACCTGGGCAACATAGTGAAACCCTGTTTTCCAATAAAGAGGTACTGGAACTGCAGGGTAGTTCTGGGGACGAGAGTTTAATGGTTCACCAGGGTCCCCTCACTATCTTTCTCAGCACAGGGACATGCTCCTGTCCTTTTATCTTGCATATTGACACTTTGCAGCAAATTGCTCCTGACAGCAGGACTGATCACTTATTTTGAATTTTTGTGTGTTTTTCTTTTCTTTTCTTTTTTTATAGCGACAAAGTCTCCCTTTGTTATCCAAGTTGGTCCCGAATTCCTGGGCTCAAGCAATCCTCCTGCTTCGGCCTCCCAAAGTGCTAGGATGACAGGTGTGATTGGACTGAAACAACAACAATCAAAAACAATGAATAAAGGTGAAAAACAAAACATGAAACTGGTCAGGATCCCCAAGTGTAAAATAATCATTCCACCACATCGACCCTTTTCTGTACAGCTTTGTACAACTTTTATTTGGAAAAAAATTTTTCTGAAGAGAAAAGGAGGGCATTCCATGGATGACTTTGAAATCAAAGTGACAGCCGCTTCTCGGTCCGCCTGGAGTGGCTTCCCCCACCTCGCTCCTTTTTTCCAGCCTCTGCAGTGCCGTCCTGCCGGTCTCCAGGTGCCCCTCATGACAGGTGAGCTCCTCACTGAAGGGGAGGAGCCATTCCTGGGGTCTCTTCCCAGCATCACAGCCCACATCCCAGTCACCAATGGCGCCGCCCTCCTGGGGACCAAAGAGGGCCGGTTTGCTTTGTTTTGTGTCATGCCAGTGCTGCGCACCCCAGGATGGCTGGTGGACCGGAGACATGTCTGACCTTGATTGGAGTCTGTCTTATCTGTCTTAACATGGTGAGTTCATCCTTCCAACCATCTGCAACTATTCAGGGGGGAAAAAGACACATTATCTTTCATTATCTTTCTCTTCTTTGGAGGGCTGGGGAGTGGGAGATAGAGGCTAAAATACTTTGGGTTCGAAACCAGATTGCATATGTTTGTGTGTTTGAAATTTAAGGCGATACGCTAGAGAAAAAAAACAAGATTATCATTTATTTTTAAGAACAAAGATTTCTGAAAAATCTGTCAGCAGCTACTGACTTGGTTCAATAGGGCAGATTCAAAGGGGAAAAAACGAAATAGTAATGAGATCTGCCTCCAGTCTCTAAATTCTATGTCGGGTTTCTTTGTGGGAGACTTGGGTGCTGGGAAGTGAATTGTATGGATAAATACTTGTATGGATTGAACGATGGCTCACGTTAGGTAGAAAAACGTTGTGGTTCATTGGTTATTGCTCTGTTGTAAATGTAAATGTTTTACATTTAACCAAATGGTGTTTTTCTTGATGGTTCTAATTTTCTAAACTTTTCTTTTCAGGTCACTTCTGCAAAAACAGGTAACATTTTCTGACACGCAAGCTTTTCCTCGCCATAGTTGATATCTATTTCTATTGTTGATTCATGGGCTACCCTGAAGTATAAAGGCTATATCAGGAAAAAAAAAAAATTCACATTATCTGAACACTCACTCTGGTTGCCAAAAATAATCGTGGGTCCTGGGGGGATGATAATTTGTAATACAACATGGATCGATCGAGCTTAAAAGTCAAGTCGTCGGGGGGTGCTGTATGCTTGGTCCTCTTATCGAATGCTGTAACATGTAGAGTCATGTAGCAGGCATTTCCTCATACACTCGAGTGAAATATCATACTGCTCATTATTCCAGTACAAGAAATACATCGTAATTATAAGTAGCAAAGAGCCTAGGTTATATAACTTTTCTGGAGAGTCTTCTGGGGAGTCAGAGGAGAAAATTAGAAATATCATATTTCACTAAATTGTCAAGATTACCTACTTTATTCAAAAAAGGACTCTACGTTTCTAATATTGCATATTTAAAATGGAAACAATTTAACTCAGAGTTGAAAAGAGATTTTCTTTTTTTTAATTTTTAATTTTAAAGATGTGGGATACAATTTAGGATTAGGTATATAAATGTTCATTATGCAGGTACCCTTGTTGATGACATGTGCCCTCTCTCCCTGGCAGTTGCCCACTACTGCCAATGCCTTTTTTACAGTATTATGATAATTGTTCAAGGTCCGCGTATGAGTGAGAACATGTGGTACTCAGTTCTTTGTTTCTGTGTTAGATCACTCAGTATTATAGACTCTAAGTCCATCCAAGTTGCTGCGAAGTTCATAATTTTGTCCTTCTTTATAACTGCATAATAGTCCGTCGTGTATATGTACTACATTTTTTTCCAGTCCTCCTTCGATGGGCAGCATGGTTGGTTCCATGTTTTTGCTATTGTGAATAATGCTGCAATAAACATGCATGTGTAGGTATCTTTTTCTTTTCTTTTTTTTGAGTTGGAATCTCACTCTGTCGCCCAGACTGGAGTGTAGTGGCCGCTCCTGGCCACCGCAGCCTCGACCTGCTGGGCTCTGGCAATCCTTCCGCCTCAGCCTTCCAAGTAGGAACTACAGGCGCGCGCTACCACGCCCGGCTAATTTTTTTATTTGTTGTAGAGATGAGATCTCACCAAGTTGCCCAGGCGGGTCTCGAACCCGCAGGCTCAGGCAATCCACTTACCTCGGCCTCCCAAAGCGCTGGGATTACAGGCTGAGC